TTTTGAACTGTCATTTAATTTTTTCCCCACCATTTTAGGACCATTCAAGTTTTCAGTAATTGTTGAGTTAGTTTTGATCATTTATTTATTTTATAGGAATTTGTTATTTTTGTCTGCTTTTTCAATTTTTAACTTTTTTAGTATGGTACAATTTATATGTAGTAAATGTACAGACAGTTTGAGGAATTTTGACAAATGTGTGCACCTACATAACTGACAACTGGGAAAATATAGATCATTTCATCACTGCAGAAAGTTCTTCCATACCACTTTTCAGGGAATCCTTCCCTCTGTCTCTGAAAAATATTTTCTGGTCTGATTTCTATCACCATAGATTAGTTTTGTTTTTTCTTAAATTTCACATAAATGGAATTATATAGTATCTACTCCTTTGAGTATGGATTCTTTCTCTTGAAACTTTTTTTGATTTTCCTCCATATTGCTTCATGTACGAATAGCTTGCTCCTTCTATTGCTGAGTAGTATTCCACTGTATGAATCTTTTATAATTTGTCCATTTTCCAGTTAATGGACATTTCCATTGTTTCCACTTTGGACTATTATAAATAGAGCTGCTGTGAACACTGTTTTACAAGTCTCTTTGTGGATATGTGTTTTCATTTTTCTTGGATAAGTAGCTGAGAGTAGAATTACTGGGTCATAGAGTAGGCCAATGACAAACTTGGTAAGAAATGGCCATACAGTTTTTCAAAGTGGTTTTCACCAGTAACATATAAGAGCTCCAGTGTAATACTTTTTTGCAAATATACGGAATTGTCATGTTTTTAAATTTTAACCATTCAAGTATGTCTGTAGTAATATCTCATTATAATTTTCATTTGCATCTCACTAATGATTAATGATTTTAAATATATTTTCATGTGTATATTTGTCATCCATATATCTTCTTTTATGAAATGTCTGTTAAAATCTTTAGCCATTTAAAATTTGGTTGTCTATTTTCTGTTTATTTGTTAGTCTTTATATTTTATGTATACAAGTCCTTTGTTGGAACTATAAATGGCGAATATATTTTTCCAATTTGGGGCTTGTCTTTTTATTTCCTTAGTCATATCTTTTGATGTGCAGAGGTTTTTAATTTTGTTGATGTATGATTTATCAAATTTCTTGAGTTAGTGCTTTTGTCCTAAAAATCTTTTGCCTACCCTAAGGTTGTCAGGATATTCTCCTATGTGTTCTCTTCTATCAGATTGATAATTTTTCTTTCAACATTCAGATTTGTGACCCATCTTGAATTATCATTATTATTATTATTCATGGCATGAAATAGAGGATCAATATTCATTTTTCCCTATGGATATTGTGTTGTTCCAGAATATTTGTTGAAAAGACTTTCCTTTTTTTAATGAATTGCCTTGATGTCTTTGATGAAAACCACTCGAGTGTATCTTTGGCTTTTCTTTTCTGTTCCATTGGTACATGTCTATCTTTATGTCAATAACACACTCTCTTACTGACTTAGCATCATAATAAGTCCTGCCATCTCTCTTGTTCTGTTTTTTATTATCACCATAGATTTCCAGGTTTTTTTACATTACTATCCAAAGCTATAAATATTATGAGTACTATTGTCATAGCATCTAACAATAGGGTCTTCCAATCTCTTAAACATGGTATCTCTCCATTATTTAGGCCATTTTTCTTGGCAAATTTTACAGTTTTCAATGTAAAGGTCTTGCACATTTTACTATGCTTATTCTAAATATATTAAAATGTTGAGTTATAGCAAAGGCATTTAAAATTGTATTTCTAATTGTTCTTACAGCACAAAATAGAATGTTTTAGTATGTTGGCTTGTTATCCTACAACCTTGCTAAATTCACTTATTAGTTGTAGTATTTTTTATTTGGATTTTTTATATATAGATCTTATTGTATAAAATAAAGGAAATTTTACTTTTTCCTTTTTTATTTTTATTTCCTTTGCCCTTTTTTCTTGCTTTTATAATCCAGGAGTTCTACTATAATCGTTTTAATATAATTGATGAGAACAGACATCTTTGCTTTGTTCCTGACCTTAGAAGTAGCCTTCAAATTTGTCAAGTGTCATAATCAACTCAAGATTTTTCATAGATGTGCTTTACATATTACAGACTACAGACTCTTCAACTGCCCACTCAAATCGCCTTCATGCCTTTTAATAGGCTTAACTACACTCATTTTGGTCCCAAACCAAAATATGATTGGTTCTCCTACCCAAATATTCACCTCTATTTACCCATTACTCAGGCCACTTTGAGTTCATCTTTCAGAATGTATTCCCATCTCATCATTTTTTACCTCCACTACAGTTTCCCGTTGTGCTCTAGAATACAATCTTCTTTTATCTGACCCTGCAGTATGTACTATCTTGATCCCTGTTGTCACCCTTTCCCTCTTTAGTCAATTCTCCACTTGTATCTGGAGTGGTCCTTTTAAGATGAAAATCTGAGCTATGTCACTCCCTTGTTAAAACCTCCAACTAAGTTCTATCACATTAGAATTAAATCTGAAATTCCTTATCATGAGCCTTATAAGGCCTGTGTGGTATGGTCCTTAACTGCCTCTCCCACCTCATCCTGCCATCTCCTCCTTGCCTGCCCACTGAAAGCCAATCCTGTTGGGCTCCTATTTCTCAAATATGCCAGGCTCAGTCCCATTCCAGGGTCTTTGTTCCTGCTTTTTCCTCTGTCTGCACACTGGTCTCACATCCACTCGGCTTGCCTCCTTACTTCATTCAGGTCTGTATTCATGGTCATCTCCTCAGAAAGCCCTTCCTGTCCACTCAGTCTAAAGTAGCAT